ATATCTATTTTAATCAATAAGAAATTTGCAACGAATATTTTCATCAGCATAATAAACGAGAAGGACTTTTAAAATATTTCGATTTACAATGACTCCGTTTTTACACTTTTAATGGCTTCTGGAAATTTTAAATTTCGCATTAGAAGTTGTAACAGCAATTGCATAAATTTGAATATATTACAACACTTCGGGAAAACGTGTTAATATTGTTAATAACTAATTCAAATAGTAAACACCTATTTATCTACAGATTACCGTTACTTAGAATGTCTTGTTGGTTTTTCCGTTTATTTTTATTTAAATATGCAGAATTTAAATAATATAGGATTTGTAACAAAATGTTTCTCTACTTTCTTTTGTTTTTTATAAATAAATTCTTTAAAAATGGAAGGAAACTGTGGCGAAATATTACAATTTCTCTTTATCGTGTACGAATTTGATGTTAATAACAATTGATAGATAAAATTTCGCTAGAAACTAAGACATTTATATGTAATCACCACTTTATAAATAAGAGTACTTGAAAATTTCCTAACTTGTAATATTTAAAATTATATTATACATACATAATCTCGATGAAAAATGATACCTGTGGCTTAGATTTTGTTTTCAATTTTCAAACCACGACAATTAAAGTTCCTGACGGATTAGCTGGTGCTTGCACCATTTTTTTTTGTTCTTATAGAGTTTGACATCACGTTCCGGCTAACGAGGGCCTCGTTAGTTACTAACGAATTGTTTGGATACAATCCAGCCCGAAAACGTGCTTTCCGTTTGGTTAATATTTGAATTGATGCTGATTGAATGTTTTGATGGTATAAAATAACTCTTTTACATTTTTTCATAAAAAAGAGTTAAAGATTTAATATTATTTTCTGTCAAGCTTTGTTGTTGTCGTTATGAATTGTGTAAAAAGCAACATATAACTCAAATATTGTGCAGAAAATATAAAAATCTGCCAGAGAGGTAAAATTGAAAAAGTAATTATTTATGTCTTTCAATAAGAAAATAAAAATATAAAATACGAACTTTAAAGTATTTTAATTTTAGTTTTCGAAATATTCTTATTATTTTCACTATTTTTGAGTCGTATACAATAATGTTATATGTAATTTGTAAGTATAGAACTTCGCAATAAACTGTGATTTCTTATATCATTGTGAGATAAAATTGAAGTTTTTGTGAAGTTGAAAGGTATTATTTGAAACTGCAACAAGTTATCAGTTATTATATTCAGTTACTATTATTTCAATACATATAAAATTTATGTAACGATATTTATTGAATGTGGAAAATAATTTATGAAGTAATATGTAAGTAAAGTGGGAAAGAAGTTCTGTACGTACGAAGGAAATATTTATATCGATATAACAACAATGTATTTGTTTAACATTGTATTAACTACACACGTTTATGATAATAAGCTAAGATATTAATTAAAAGATAAGTACACCTGCGTTTGGATTAATATTTGCTATTCTACATAATTTTTCAAGCAGTACTTAATTCGCTTTACTTATTTCTATCACTGTTCCTAATCATAATGGTTGTAACACTCACCTACAATTATTAACGTTACTCGGTTCAATCATAAATTGAAACTCCTTATTTCCAATATTTATACGTAAGTAAATGTGACTTTTCTTTGCAAAAATAATTTACAAAAATTTGATCAATTGGCGTTAACATTATCTGAACGATAATTTGTTATCTTCTTTGCAGTACAATCTATAATTATATTGTTTACTAACGATAAGCAAATAAATTGTCAAATTTTCCCAACATCTTCAACAACAGTTTCATACATACACACACATAAGAAAATTTAAAAATATATTACAATTAGGAATATTCAGAAAATTTCTATAGTAAGTATACCAGAAAATTAATCGAAACCTCACCCGCAACGCTTTTGACTTTTAAAACGTTTCTTCGGTGACTTATAGAGCATGATGGGCCTTTTCGTCTTAAAGTTGGCTTTAAAGAAACTAACAGGATTATGCAGTATGGCTTCTAGACCTTTAGACGATCTAAGGTCTTTGCACCGTTCCCTTCTGAAGCAGTAAACTTCCTTTTATATCTGTAAACGTGTTAGGTTTCACGAATATTTTAAATTGTACGTGCGCCATATTTGTTCAAAATATAAAATTTGGTTTTAATAAAATAATTTTCATTTGGAATGACAGACTTTTTTGAATATTGAGGTTTTTTAAATATTTCTGCATTAATGAGTTAAATTTTGTGTCACCTATATTACAAATAAAAGAAGATGTTATCACTAAATTAGAGGAACAAGAAGCGTTAGATAAACAGAATACGCCGTTTTTAATTAAAAGATAAGATACGAAGATTGCAACTTTGTATGTAATAGACAACACCCTGTATGTAATAGATTTAAAAGACATGAAAAACATTTATGACGTAAAGTTAAATAAAGATGTATAGTTAGTTACCTACTCCAGGTATCGATAAATCAAATGAATTTAAAAATATAGCATAACAAAATAATGTTTTAGATAGTTTGCAAATATGTATAAATACAATTCGATGAGTGTTACTATTTATTATTTGAAAAGACTAGATGATAAATTAAACTAATTTAAATGAAGTAAATTTACAAATAAATGGCTTTATCGACAGTGTATACGAAGAAATAATTTTTCTTGTTAAGATAGTTGAATATTATTTTAATAAAAATTAGATAGAAATATTATAGAACGTTGCTTGAAAAAAATCATATCAGTATTCAGATTATATGTCAATTTTTACGTAAGTATACATACTGTACGTAACAGGATGTAATTTTCATGACAAATGTGAAGGATAAGATTTACGATAACAATAAATTAGGTAACCATGATGAACTATTCATACGTATATACGAAATTGAAAATATGTATTGCATTATTCGAATGTTAATCACGTTCTTACTTATACACCTCTTATTCTTAGTACACGGATAAAAAAAAATCAATTGAAACAGATATTTATAGCAAAAATGTGTAGCTCACTATCTTGGCCAAAATAAGTCAGACACGAATCATTTTGTTAATCATATTTCTATGAAAATTGTGCATAGATTGATGCAATAAATATTTCCAATACTTACTGTAATTTATACGTATATTATTATATGCAGTGTTCCTCTGACAATGGATGTTTTTTGTTAATTTCTAGCGAGTGTCACCAATTTCTACAATTTTTATTAAGTTATTGTATAAGGAATACCTACATGCAATAAACATATCTAATATTATAGTTTATATATTATTACATACAGTGTCGTTTTGACATTGGATTCTTTTTGTTAATTTTTAACTGAGTGTCACTGGTCTCTGCAATATGTATTAGACTCTTGTACATGGAATATCGTTTTGTCATAATCTAAATTAGAAAACATAAAAACAGGAAGTAGAAATATTTATAGATTTTCAATAGACGTGTCTACTATCAGCAAAAAGAGTAGGCCAAAATAGGTATAGATAATTTAATAAACCAGTTATAAATTTTCAAAGTTCTTTCCATACTACAAAAACGGTGTTTGAAGTATTTTCAGAAGCAACTATTCATTTCATTTATTGTAAAAATGTAAATAAAAATTATAAACCATCGCATTATGTTATCCACATGCTTTCCAATTTTCATACGAGAAACGGTATTTTGTATACAGCAATCTACTTAATATTTATAGTTCGAAAACAACTTGTAAATTGTTTTAAATTCTTTCTACTAAAAACGTAATTCACTAAATTATTATACCGATACGCATCAGTATTTATATTCCTTGTTATCTCTTTATTAAGATAAATGATAAGTCATTTTAATCTTAGTTACAAGAAATTTGAGATCCTGAAGTAGTTACCTTCTCGGTGTAACAACTAGTATACCGTATTTTCTTGCACGGTGCTATTCTATAGTCTATTTAACCAGTCGAATCAGTGCAAATAACAAACACTTTCTCAACACTGTGAATTTGACCATGTCCCACCTAAACGGCCAGCACATGCATTTGTTTACAGTTACACTGACTCGACTCCTTGAATGAGCAATAGTACACTCACCACTATTAAATATAAGTATTTCATACACGAAGCTCTCGGAAGCATGACATAATAGAAGGTAAGCAGATTATGTAAGAGCGTCACAGTACAGTTAGTGAACCACTAAGCTTCTTAATGTATCTCTCTCTGACGTAGTAAGTAGAATCTCCAAAGTCGTTCGACAAAACTAAACGAAGCATTGAAATTTTCCTGTGCATAATTCACACGAATAAACAAAAATTGGTTGGCACGTCATGTACATTCCACCTAAAATACTGTATCTTCATACACCGACATTGTTGAACGACGATCGTATCAACGGTACTTAATTAAACTTAATGACAGTCAACAATAATAACGATTTTCTGAGAAACGATAAGAATCTGAAGATAAAAGAAACTATTCATATTACCACCAGTATCAATCGTATCTAGCGGAACAGCAAAATTGGAAATGGAGCAAAATTGAATTGGAGCAATTTCAAAACGGTACTTAATAGGACACAAATTACAACGATCACTTTAACGTCTTTCTCGACCGCGAAGTAATTCACTCGTTCTTATTCATGTCGTGCGCTATCGTGGAATCGATAAGGAATCGGTTTCTAAACGAGTTGTGCAGCGACACGACCAGGTTAGCCGCCGCATTTCCTTCCCCTCGTCGAACATAATATCGATTAGACTAGGGCAGGGGGGAGGGTCACAGGTGCCCGGAATCTCCTGACCTTGACACGAAATATTTTTCTCAGCCGGTGAACTCTCAGGCCTTTCCGAGTTTCTCCGAGTTATTCGCAAGGAAATACTTCAGTTTGGACAGCCTGGCTCTGGCTAAACTCACGTCAAGGCGTGTCGTACGTTATCACCTGCGTAGATCTTGTCCGCAGGCTCGATCGTATATTCTCCGTTATCACATGAACTTTATCTTGCGACATTACCGCTGCGATCCTCCGTCGCTAGCCTTCTACGTGTACATATCCAACCGGTTCACGCTGAAATTCCCCAAAGCGTACGGGCTCTGGGAGTTCGTCCTCACCAGGATGAAGCCCCCCACTTGCTTCTGCACTTTATCCCCGGCCAAAATAGCCGGATACCTGGGCGGACAAAGACCCAAAAGATAAGACACGAATCCGCCGCATCGCCAGCCCCAGAAACCCACTTCCGAATTGATCGACTCCGCGAAATACATCACCGATCTATGATGATCACACTCGAAAGGTTTCCCGTTCTCCCAGCAACCCGGCTGATTAATACCACCGTTCATATAAAAGTCCACGTGCCCGCTCATCTCGACTTTCCCTTGAATGAACGCGTTCGTGTGAAACACGTCCACGAAAACCGCGTCACCTGCGTCCAATTTCTGATCCTTATCCGCAGTGACGAACAAAGGCATGGCTGGGTCTAGGCCAGTGATTCTGGTCATTTGGTACGGTCTGAGAACGTTCGCGGCGAACGCTGGCACATGGGCACCGAGACTGAAACCGATCGTGTGTATATCAGTCGCTCCGAGATCCCTGATCCTATCGATCAGCTGAGCAAGACAATCACCCACATGCGGCACGTTTCGTACGACGATGGGGTAGCACGGAGCGGTAGCCAGACGATGCCAGTCCACCGCGATCACATTGTAATCATACGTTTTCAAATACTCCATACGGACGTCCACCAGATACGTCAGCTGCATGTCGGAATCGTAGCCGTGTATAACGATCTTGGTAGGATTCGAAGGAACGAAATTGGTCTCCAATAGATTCGATCCAGTGTCGTCTACCAGAATCTGTTGACTTGTCTCGGGATTTCTTTTCGTGTACAAGAAAAACGTCACTTCTCTGTCCGGGCAGGTCTGATTCGTGTTCACCAGACAGGGTCCTATGAAATAGTCCTTGGCTGCTGTTCCCTGGTCCAGTGTGTTGCTGATCACCAACGGTTGCTGTTGCATCGCTGATGTATACTGGACCAGAAGGAACACCATCAACAGAGATTTGTAGATCGTTTTCCAAATTGTTCGAGGAGCTTCCATCTTCGATCTTCCAACCGGTCCACCGTGACACCACAGCGATCGAAGGCTTCGTACGTTAGGGCCGATTTCACTTGACTGCCGGGACGAAACTACCGAGTGGTCCGCGCGCCGGCGAACCGTGAGGGAAACTTCGCGTTGAATCAGCACGTACCTCCACGACGAGCTCGGAATCCCTAAAGAGGGGCATGCCACAACACGCGGCTTGGTCTGATTAGGGGGACTTTGACGTCTGTACCGGCGCGCTCGATACACCGCCGATCAATCACGGCTTGCCATGACGAAGGTCGAACCGATGACGACTTGGAGGCACGCTGCTCGAACGTTTCGCGTCGTTTCGATCTTTTCGAATTTCCAGCTGATCGAATCGAATCTTGGAATCTACAGCGCGACCCCGTGGAATTGGGATGAATCGATAATGAGAGGGGCTATCTATGATCTATGGGAGGATTGTCTACGTGACGGCGACGCCTGTGTAATGGCGTTCGAACGGGCCGGTGGAAGATTCGGCGCAAACAAATTGGAACTCTGTCGGGACACGTTTTCCTTCGAACGTGCTGGTTGGAAAACGGAACACCTGGTGGAAATCGATTATGCCACTCGATACTGTTTTAACGGACTGCTCTTGGTGGAATTGTAATTTTTTTCTTATTGACAATCGATTTTTTTGTAATTGTTCGGTTTACTGTACGATATGTGGAACGTTCTTGTGAGGGTGTTGTTTAATTTTTAACGAGATTGTAAATTGTATCGAGTGGACTAACCGCGATTTCATGGTTTACTGAAATGTATGTATGAGTTGACGCGGCGGGGATGGAAGTTCAAGTATCTGTGGGTATGAGCGTTTGAAGAAAATTTTGATTTATGAATGGCGTATTTTCTTCTTTGATATTGAACGCTACAGGCTTTCAGAAAAATAATGAATATATAAATGGGAGAAATAAAAGAATGACATGAAGATTTGATGATAGCTTTGCTATCTTTGTTATTTCTACACTATGTGTTCGGATTGTTTTAAAACTGTTCTTGCATTTAAATGAATAAAATTGAACTCTGATTATTTAAATTATTATTATATTATTTTAGACGATTTAGATTAATCTTTAGTGTAGTAAATGTTTCAAAGATTTTGAATTGAAAAAGTAATAGTATTTAGTTCTGTTATAGTTACTGTGTTTCGATATTACAGTCATAAATAATCAATTTTATTTCTATGAATGTAACCATGATATTATAATTACCATTGAGATAAATGATATGTTGATGTTCGACCATAAATACCGTCAGTTTTATATTTATACCTCTTTTTATACTTTTTCTCTATTTTTATGGTCAATTTGAATAACTTCCTATATGCATGTATTTTAGAGTAGTATAATTTTTACCCCCATTTTATGAATATTATTGAAACGGTACCACTGCGTTAGAAAAAAATACCTATTTTATATAAATAAGTAATAATAAAAATAATACAATTGTTATACTATGGTTTATTAAATAAAATAGATAAAACATTTTATCTGTTCACAACTGCATTATTAAATTTGTATTAAATAATATGAATTCTGTCACCAACAGTGTTTCGAAAAGCATTAATTTAAAATACGTTTCGAATACACAATAAAATTATTTATACGATATTTTCATATATAAAATTAATCATACATATGAATAATCGAATATTTAAGGTAAACTTTGTCGTTATGTGATAATCGTTTTGCACGTCAGAGGCTCTTCTTTATCGAAGTACATCTGTCTGTCAATTGACGAGTGTCAGTGAAATGACGTTTGAAATTCTGTGACTTGAAAAATTGTTGTGGGGATGGATAATTGATAGGTATTTGTACAAGTGGTACGTGCCACGGACACTATAAACGTCAAGTTTGCAGTGGAGCTTCGGAATTGGATTGAATCTGCGTCTGATAAGCATTGTGAAACTCGTGAAACGTAAATCATATCAGTCCGTGATTTTCCAAAAATGTCAATAAATGTTTTATTGCGAGCAATTTTACTGCGATGTAAATTTTCTATGACCAATTTACTTTAAACATATTATAAAAGTTTGATTTGATTTCATTTTATGATATTACGTTGAAAACACTGTTTTTCATGCAACGTAGACAAACTGGATCGTATATGTCCAACCCCACTTTTTTTATTTATGTTAGGTTTTCAAAAAACCTGAAAAAAGTTATGGGAAATTTGTCAAAATCTCTACCATATTATAAAATTGCTTGTTAAGTGAAATGTTTAAAACTGTTCTCAGTACAAATAATAATTCGGAGGAAAGTTCGAAAAAATGAGTAAATAAATTCTTCTTGGAAGATTACTAGCATGAACATCATATTTAAAAATTAATACAATATAATCCGTATGTATATAAAACAGTGAATGTTAAACTTCTTTATTATCACTTTGAGCATCTATCAAACGGGTAAATGGCGATGACCTAATATATATAACAACTGTATTTGTCAATTATTTATCAATTTATGTTTGTCAATTATTACTTCTGTATTAGTCCCATAGTAGGTACGTTTTACATTTTTCCATGTTACAATTCCACACTCACGGACAGAACATTGCAAAAAGCAGGAGAAAGTGTGTATTATTTAACATTATTAATCACTACGGTTAGTCAATACGTGATTCAGAATATACATATGTACTTCGAACCGTGTTGCATTAGAATTTACACAAAGGTAGACAATAAAGAGGAACGACTGATTTTTGTTATGTGTAACTTCTGACTAACTGGAGCCAGAGATTACATTTTAAACGTAATGACCATCGATAACTATCCATCAGAGTTGAGCAAGATGTAATCTAATTACAGAATCTAATTGTAATTACAATTTAGATTCTGTAATTAAATTACATTTTGCTCAAGTCTGCTGTCCATAAACAAATGTTTTTTTTCCTAATTGGGTTTGTTAAAAACTTCTGCAGATTATGTCGACAATTAGAAGTATCTTTTTGCCGGCTAGTATCTTTGATTTACATTGCAGATAAGATAACACGTCAGGATCGCGTGACTGATTCCAATAACATCGAACAACAGCGTATGAGACAGCGTGTGAATTACTCTTATTTTGAGTTTGATGAATAACTAGTACAACTTTACTACCACATAAGGATGTAAGATTTATTTCTCGTTATTTGTAATCCAAAAAATCTAGTATTTATAGATTATAACATATAGATTTATAATAGATTTATAACAAATACTTAAATGTATTCCTTCGTTTGATTTTGTTCATTAGAAATATCTATTTGTCCATTAAATAATAATTATGCTAGATGAGACAGAAAATGATATTCGAAGCATTTGTTTCGGAAGTGGCCGTGAAAGCGGAGTTTACTTCCGCCGGCGTGCACCGCTAGAAGGTGAAATTTTCATTGTGATTGAGTATGCGACTCGTAAGCACGAACTTTCGCGGTAAGCCACCGAAGAATATTAATTGCGGCCGAAAACACTTTTACGTTCGTTTCGAGGAACAAGCTTCGTGTCCTGATTACGTGTCATCTGTCTGATCACCACGATATTCAAACGGCACCTAAGAAAACCACCCGTCAAAACAAAATTACATATCAATATTTATATAATAAATTATTCGTGAAAATATTGTAACAAATTTCCCAACAAAAAATATATCCTACCATTTGATTGTCATTAATATTTATAACTATACATATTTTAAATAAAAACAGTTGCAAATTAAAAATGAATTCTTTTCTGGCCATAATAAATTCGTTCCTGAAGAAGTTAATTAATTTTCGAAGTACTAACAATAAGAGAGTTATAAGTGATAACGTGTTCAATATTTGAATGATGCAATAAATATTTTCGGTATTGTACGTATGATCTGTTCATGCAATTGAAAAAAGGGTTTCTTGGAGTTCGAAGAGATGCTTTAAATTAAAAAGTGATTTAAACCCTCAGAAAACGACGGTAAACGAAACGTTGAGTTCCACTCGTTAAAATGTAGAAATCCACTTTCGTCTGTGCAACGGCGAAACAAAGCAGGCAAAGCTTTTTCCAATAGTAAAACTTGGCCCAAAAAGAAAATAATTCGTTGGAAATTCGCCCGTGAGAAGCGAGAAACATTGCAAGAACCTACTGGGTGTTCTCTTTTGCCGTGCTGAAAATGATTTTTAAATACACGAACGATACCTGCTGTTTGTGCATTTACTCATCTATGAAACTTTTTCACATGGAAGAAGTGTAAAACGTGCTTTCAACGAACGAAACTTCACCTGATTTAGACGACTTTCTTCTTTTTATAACCGTCTCTCGTTTACGAAATTTTAGAAACATAATTCTTGTTTCGCTTGCTTAGAATTTCAAAAAATACTTTTACTTCTTACGTTTACCAAAGATCGTTTTTTCTGTTACATTTGAACCAACTAAATTGGCGTTAGTTGTACTAATAAGTAATTCATTATTTCGTGGCGAAATTTGTACCTATTCATTTCTGTAGGAGTCAAGGATCTATACTGTTTCATTTATATTAATAACAGTTTTCCAACGTCATACATTACTTTTACATACTGAAAAGTTCAGAAAATATTTTCAATTTACAATATATTGCCTCATAATTGAAGAACAATAGTGTAATATATGTATTACTGTGACATGTAATGTAATACTTATTGTTACACCTAACGATGTCGATACTTTAATTAGTGATCTATTATTGCATATTAGATAATATGAAATTATGTTAAGATCCTTTCTTGCAAAAATTCCAAAGTCACTATTTTCTGTCTTCTAAATAGATTTTTACTTCAGAATTTTATGTTTGATTATGAAACTGTAAAGTTATGTATGTTTCTAATCTATAAAAAATCTTTGGTCTCATGAACTGCTATTTTTTGTAATAGTTGAGCGTAATATTCTTATGCATAGAATATCCATTAAAAAAACGTGCGAATACGCATGTCCAATGCATTCAAGGAAAGGAAACAGAAATCCTTCAAAAAGTAAACTTTGATACATCACTCTAATCTTTCTTGTACCACTTTTTGTACTGTAACAAAAAAGGAGCGATTACCCATGCCTGTTACGTGACTCGCCAGGTCCAATGTACGCTCCTAACAAATATATTCAAAGTTTAGTCACGATTTCAATTTTATTTTGCAATAACAAAAAAATACTATCCACACTCAAGTTAAC